GGTTTTTTTTTTTTTTTTTGGGGGTTTTTGTTTTTTTTTTTTTTTTTTTTTTTTTTAGCAGTGTATATTCTCGTTTAAAACCGCCCGCGGCAGCGCGATCACCGTTCCTGCCTCCCTACCCCTTCCCCGCCTTCCAAATCGCCTCTTCCTTCTGGTTTTTAAGCTCCTCAGAGCTTTTTTTTTTTTTTTTTTCCCCGTGGAGCCGAATCCCAAATCCCTCAGAAATCCCGATAAGGGGGCGACGGTGGAGGAGTGACCCCGTTTTTAACGTCGGTCCGGGATTCGGGAAGTCGCACGGCTCCGTTGCACCCACGTGAACCCACCCCTTGCCTAGGTGAAACTTTAAATCCTTTCTTGCTTTATTTTTCCTTTTCATCCAGAATTCCTCCACAAATTTGGACGCCGGGAACGCCGTAGGAACCCCCTCTTCCTTTCCACCCCGGTAAGGAGCTTCACGCCCCTCCTCTTCATCACGGTTGTTCCAACAGTCGGACGCCGAGCCGGCCAGGATCCGTCGTCCCCTCCGGGCGAGGATTACAGCTCGCCCGACGTGTTTTTACAGCGAGACGTAGCATTTAAAAAAATAGATTTAACCCAGCGAAGGGGCCAAATCCGGGGGGATTTCACGGGGCGGAGCTGCGTCTAACGAGTTCCCTCATTCCGGATAATAATTTATTGAAATATCCCGGTGTTTTGGCCAATCCCATCTTCGGGCGCTGCCATCCCGGAGCGAGATAGCCCAGATCTCCGTGTTGGCGCAGCCCCGGAACCCAGGCAAGTAGGAATTTGTCCGTATTTACGGCCGTGCTGAAAAAAATCTTTCGTTTGATTAGCGTTAATTAAGCCGTCTCCATCAGATAAAGCGCGGAGAGATGGATCGGCTCCCCGACGAGCTCCCGGCTCGGATTTTATCCCTTTTTCCCTTTTCTTTTTTGCGCTGAGAAAATTAATGGTGTTCTCATTGCCCGGTAATGGGGATTATTTGGCTTTAACCACCCCCTAATTAAGCGTAAAGTTGCCAACCTCTTCGCTTAATTGCTTTACTAATTTCTTCTTGGCCATCGGTTGGTTTTAGTCTTGGCTCTTACCTGGAGCTGCGTTTGGCTCCGGGCGGGCGTTGGGAAAGCCGGGGTGACCCCAACCCCTCCCCGATTAAACTCCCAAAGCCTTTTTGGGGCTGTTTCGTCCCAAAAGAGTCCCGGGATGATTTATTTTTTCCCTGGGAAGCGTTGTGGGACGCACGCCTCGGCAGCGAACCCGTGCCGAGGAGGGGAGAAGGAGCCGGCGGCGAGTTTTGGGGTGATTTTGAGCTTATTTGGGGTCAGGCGGGAGGTAGAAAGCACCGCGTGGGTCGTTAAATCTTGATTTTTTTTAATCGGAAATAGGCGGGGTCGGACTTTCTCCTCCGGCTCACAATGGCGTCTCGGCTAAGAAAGAGTTAAAAATTGTAGCTTAATTTATTGAAAAACCTGTGGTTAATAATAAAAACCTCCCTCCCTCCCCGCCCCCCCTTCTCGTTAGCGGGGAAGGGCTGGGTCTTGCTCCTGCAAATCGCAGCTGCGGCTCTGGAGCAGCAAAATTGGGCTCAAAAATCCCAATTTTGGGTTCCACCGGGGGAGCGGGATTGATCCGGGGGGGGCTCTTTAACCCTTTTCCCCCATTTTTTACCCCAAATTACATCCATGGGGCACGACGGAGCTCCTTATCCCTGCGCCGTGACCCCTTAGAAGGATTCGGGGACCCGGCTCTACCCGGTGCGGTGCTGCCGGCGTCGGTGCCGCCAGGTTTCCCCGGCGCGGCTTAAAATAAAAAATTAACGCCCTATAATTAATTTTTCAGGCTCGTCCCGCTTTCCCTTATTTTACGCTAAGAAATAGGGCGAGATTCCCTCGTGGATTGATTCCTGCCGGAGCGCGAGCTCGGCTGGGCGGATAACGGCGTCGTTAATTCAGGTTGCGGTGCTCCGGCGATGTAAAAATTTGATTGAAAAATTCTTTTTGTTTTTTTTTTTTTTTTATTTTAAATCCCTAAA